CAGATATCCACCTGCCTCTGCCTCTGTTGTGCTGGGTGTACAACAGACATACACTACCATGCCTCGTTCAGTTCATCTTTCTTCTGTAGATTGTCTTGCCCAAAAGCTTTGTTTGTGGATTAACTGTTGGCCCTGAGGAGGGAGTGCTATCAGGCTTCTAAAGGGCTCTGGCACAACAGGCTGGGTTACTAAGTGAAGCAACCTGTAAACATGGGGTAGTGGCAATGGCTGACAACGACTAAGAACTCACCTTGTGTCACAGACTGGGCCAAGTGCTTACATCCATTGACTCATTTAATGTCTCAACAAACATGAGGTGGATGTCATTACCCTGACGCCAAAATTAGAGGGCAGGGAGCAGTTTGCTTACTATCTCACAGCTGCTGCATGGGGAACAGGACCTGAACTCTAAACTCTGAAGTTCCAGAACCCACAAGACTGTGGTTAAATGCTCTTGGCACTTGGTGGGGGTGGGGAGCAATCCTGGAATCAGTGCTAGAGAGGATATTTACCCTACTTCCTCTCTTGGACAGGAAACTGAGGCTCCTGAGCAGCTGATTACAATCTTGCCTGTCTGAAGCTGGCTTACCCGCTCTACCACACGAAGCAATAGATTGCTGCTCAGAATTCTCCTGGGCATGTCCTGGCTGGAGGGAGAGATTATCTTTTTGCTCAAGGGTCCTTTCTTTGCTTAATCCTATTTATACCCGTTTCACTTGCACTACAGACAAAATCATTAAAACAAGAAACCAGATTTCTGGAGAAGAAATTTATGTGTTTAAAAATCAGCGTTGCACAACCCTGGGAATACACTCAAAAATCACCGAATTGCTTAAGTGGAAAACTATAGTATGTGAGTTGTATCTCAATAAAACATTTGTTGTTGTTGTTCATGACTTCAACAAGGCATTGAAGAGATAGCCAGTCGCTAAGAGCACTGACTGCTCTTCCAGAGGACCCAGGTTTGCATCCCAGTACCGACCTGGCAGCTCACATCCAGTTCCATGGAATCTAAACAACTCCTTGTGGCCTCTGTGGGACCCAGGCAATCATGTGATACAAAGACATATACACAGACAAATCACCCAACACAAACCAATTTTCATTGTTTTTGAGTGATTCCAGATAGGCTCCTGGTGGACTGACACACAGAAAATTGGGGGCAAAGCTGACCTCCCTTGCTTATTCTCTTTAAGTCTCTCTCAGTGTAACCCTTGTGAGCAAAAGGGAACGTGCTCCCTCAAGTTTGTGTTTTGAGTTGAAGTTCTGAGTGACTAAATGACAGAGTTTTGGTGCTAAAAAAATATGATTTGACTCTGGGCATGGCGGAGCATGCCTTTAATCCCAGCACTCTGGAGGCAGAGGCCAGCCTGGTCTACCGAGAAAGTTCCAGGACAGCCAGAGATAACAACACAGAAACCTTGTCTCAAAAAAACCAAACCAAAACAAAAATTTGACTTGCTTT